ATATCGAGGGAGCAGCTTTGATTAAATAAGCTTTAAAAAGGGGAGAGAATGCCAGGTTTTACAGAAAGCTTTCTGAGTTGCTGGCAAATGGCCACATGACACAATATTATTAGTCTATGAATATTATCTTCTTTCTAAGTACAAAACTGCTGTTCCCAGTAACACAAGCTCATAGTTTCAGGATGAAGGAAATTAGCATGATGCTAAAAGAAAAAAAATCAGGATTCCAGGAAATCACACTTTTAACAAAAATTCCCATGTTCCTAGTTCTACAGTTTCACCCTTTCTACCTGCTGCTCTTTTTCTTTCTTCCCTCCCTCTTTCTTTCTTTCTTTCTTTCTTTCTTTCTTTCTTTCTTTCTTTCTTTCTTTCTTTCTTTCTTTCTTTCTTTCTTTCTTTCTTTCTTTCTTTCTTTCTTTCTTTCTTTCTTTCTTTCTTTCTTTCTTTCTTTCTTTTTAAGACAGTAGACAGAACTGGAGATTTCATAACCAAGACAGGCATTACCAAATTCAAATAGATTTTTAAAAAAGTTTGTCAAGATTTTTATTGTTGTATTTTAAAAGGTTAAAATTTTGTTTTAAGATTCTTTAAGGCGAGAATGCTGGTCTCAGATGGGAAACAGGCAAGAAAAAAAGCCCCATTTAAATTTAACATTTAACAAATATAATTGGGCATCTATTATGTGTTAGGCACTAGGGATATAGCAGTAAATAAAATGAAGCCCTTTTCCTCATGGATCCTACATTATTTTATATTTATTTAATTATTTTAAATTAATTAATTAATTTTTGTATCTCCTTTTCCCCCAGTTACTCCCCCATCCCAATCCCTCCCCACCCTGTCCCCAGCTTTGTTGTCCATGTCCACTGTTCAGGCATACATGCATATAACTTCTGTGGTTTATCTCTCCCTCCCTCCCCCGCCCCCCTCTTCTGAGGGTTGACAGTCTGTACCTTACTTCCACATCTCTAGGACTACCCCATTCCTCAGACTGTTATGTTCATTATATTCCACAAATAAGTGAGATCATATGATACTTGTCTTTCTCTGTTTGGCTTGTTTTGCTTAGGATATTACCTTCCAGGTCCCTCCATGTCGTCTCAAAAAATAAGAGATTTTCTTTTCTTACAGCTGCATAGTACTCCATTTTGTATATGTACCACAGTTGTTCTATCCATTCATCTACTGATGGACATTTGGGCTGTTTCCAGATCTTAGCTATTGTAAATAGCACTGCTACGAACATGGGGTACATATATTCCTCCTGATTGGTGTTTCAGGCTTCATAGAGTATTTTACTAGAAGTGGGATCAATGGGTCAAATAGAAGTTCAATTTTTAATTTTTTGAGGTAACACCATATAGTTTTCCATAGTGGCTGCACCAGTCTGCATTCCCACAAGCAGTGTACTAGGGTCCCCTTTTCTCCACACCCTTGCCAACACTTGTTGTTTGATGATTTGTTGATGGTGGCCATTCTGACAGGTGTGAGGTGATACCATTTTGTTGTTTTAATTTGCATCTCTCTGATGATTACCGATGTTGAGCATTTCTTCATATGTCTTTTAGCCATTTGTATGTCCTGTTTGGAGAGGTGTCTATTTAGTTCCTCTGCCCATTTTTTAATTGGGTTCTTTGTCTTCCTTTTGTGGAGTTGTATGAGCACTCTATATATATTGGAAAATAACCCCTTGTCTGATATATCATTGGCAATGATGGTCTCCCATACAGTGGGTTGCCTTTCCATTTTGATGATTGTATCTTTTGCTGTGCAGAAGCTTTTGAGTTTGATGTAGGCCCATGTGTTCATTTTCTTCTTTGTTTCTGTTGTCTTAGGTGATGTAAAAATTCTGTTGTGTATAATGTCTGAAATTTTGTTGCCTACAGTTTCTTCTAGGATTTTTATGGATTCATGAGTCATACTTAACTCTTTTATTCATTTTGAGTTTATTCTTGTGTAGGGTGTAAGTTGACGGTTTAGTTTTATTTTATTGCGTGTAGCTGTCCAATTTTCCCAACACTATTTATTAAAGAGGCTGTCTTTACTCCACTGTATGCTCTTGCCACCTTTGTCAAATATTAATTGAGCATATTGCCGTGGGTTCATTTCTGGGTTCTCTATTTTGTTCCACTGGTCTATCTGCCTGATCTTGTGCCAGTACCAGGCTGTTTTGATGACAGTGGCTTTGTAGTATAACCTGAAATCTGGAAATGTAATCGCTCCAACTTTGTTCTTCTTTTTCAAATTGCTGTAGCTATTTGAGGTCTTTCTTGGTTCCATATGAATTTCTGAAGTATTTGTTCTAGTTCTGTGAAGTATGTCGTTGGTATTTTGATGGGGATTGCATTGAATCTATAGATTGCTTTGGGTAGTATGGACATTTTAATGATGTTAATTCTTCCAATCCATGAACAGGGTATGTGCTTCCACTTTTTTATACCTTCCTCTATTTCTTTTTTCAATGACCTGTTGTTTTCTGTGAATAGATCCTTTTTATCTTTGGTTAAGTTTATTCCTAGATATATTAATTTTTTTTGCCACGATGGTACATTGGATTGTTTTTTTAGTTTCCCTTTCTGTGAGTTTGTCATTGGTGTAAAAGAAAGACAAAGAATCCAATTAAAAAATGGATAGAGGAGCTGAATAGACACCTCTCCAAACAGGACATACAAATGGCCAAGAGACATATGAAGAAGTGCTCCACATCGCTAATCATCAGAGAGATGCAAATTAAAACAACAATATGGTATCACCTCACACCTGTCAGAATAGCCGCCATCAATAAATCATCAAACAACAAGTGTTGGCGAGGGTGTGGAGAAAAGGGGACTCTAGTACACTGCTGGTGGGAATGCAAACTGGTGCAGCCACTATGGAAGACAATATGGTGTTACCTCAAAAAATTAAAAATTGAACTTCTATTTGACCCAGTGATCCCACTTCCAGGAATATACCCTAAGAAGCCAGAAACACCAATCACAAAGAATACATGTACCCCCATGTTCATAGCAGCACTATTTACAATAGTTAAGATCTGGAAACAGCCCAAATGTCCATCAGTAGATGAATGGATAAAAAAAGCTGTGGTACATTTACACAATGGAGTACTATGCAGCTGTAAGAAAGAAAAATCTCTTATTTTTGAGACGACATGGATGGACCTGGAAAGTATTATTCTAAGCGAATCAAACCAAACAGAGAAAGACAAGTATCATATGATCTCACTTATTTGTGGAATATAATGAACATAACAGTCTGAGGAATGGGTTAGTCCCAGAGACGTGGATGTGGGGTACAGACTGACCATTCCCACAAGAGGGGTTGTGGGGGAGAGATAAACCACAGAACTGATATGCATGTATGCATGAACAATGGACATGGACAAGAAAGCTGGCGACAGAGTGGGGGGGAAAAGAAACATCTGTAACAAAAATAAATAAATTAATTATAAAAAAAAGTAAATGGAAAGTAAGTATTTTGAAAATGGTTTAAAACTTTCTAATGGCCCTAAAGGAGACCTTTCCTGTGATCCTCTCTTTTCTCATGGGGAGCTCAGCTGCGATGACGACACCAAATCTCTGAGTTGGAATCATTGGCTGGTGTTTGCTTTCATTCTAGACTTCAAAGGTCATGGCTGTGGTTGCAAAACCTCGTGGAGAAGAGACATCCCTCATCTTTGTGGGAAAAAAATAAAACTTTATCTCAAAGCCCTTGGGAACAAATAGACATACACATGTGAGCCTCAAATGTGCCCATGGCCCTTCACATTTTGCAGTATGCATTGGATTTAATCCTCACAGTAACACACACAGCAGTTGGTGCTATCACTTCTAAATTATGGCCAAGAGAGGGACTTGTCCCTACCATAATTTGGACTCAGTTCTTCTGATCCAGGTACTTACCTTGCATTGTTGACTCCAGCAAGGACTCAATCTTGATGAGCACTGTGGAGAGCACAGGCATGGTCTTCCTATGGGCTGGTCCTTCATGGGTTGGACAAATAAGCTTATATTCCTGACAGAGCAAGTGGTGCTAGACAGAGGCTCATCAAGAGAGCTGGGTTGGGCACTGGAAGCCAGGAAGGACAATGACGCTCAAGTCCCCAAGACACAGGAAGACTTGACCAATGGCCACAACACTCAGATCAGATTTTAAAACGGTCCTTATCTCTCCAAACCAGCTTGAGACTTGGGCTCCATTAAGTTTCATTCTCTCTTACACTTGTCCTTCCCTTTGTCCTTCTATTATTTCAATGAGTGATGCTTATGAACATTTTTGCACCCCCAAAATATCATAAGTTCAGTTAAGTGTAAAGACCAGACCTCATTTAGTGTTGTCCTATTATCAAATGCATGGTAGCTGTGTTTAAACAGTGTTGGTTAAGAAGTGGTCCTGGGAAGAAGTGAGAATGCAGTGACAGGGACAAGGAGACTGGACTCAGCAGCAGAATGCCTAGACTGGGGCCTTTTCTATGCATTCTGTAATTAAAGCAGGATCCAGTGACCAGCTTCTGAGGGTGTGACAAATCAGGGTCAGAGGCTCAGACCAATAGATCCAGAAGTTTCTTGATTCAAGAACCATTAAGACATCCTTGCTGGTTTGGCTCAGTGGTTAGAGTATCATCCCATGGAACAAAGGGCCGCCAGTTTGATTCTGGTCAAGGACACATACCTGGGTTGCAGGTTAGATTCCTGGTTCCAGTTGGGGTTGTGCAGGAGGCAGCCAATTGATGTGTCTCTCTCACATTGTTGTTTCTCTCTCTCTCCTTCTCTCCCTCTCTTCCACTCTATCTAAAAAAATAAAGGGAAAAACATCCTTGGGTAAGTGTTAACAACAAAAAAAGTACCATTGAGTCTGTGAACTGATTATTTGGGCTTCATTCTGATGCATCAAGAATGTTCCATGGGCCAAGAATATAAAATGGGGACTGAACAGGTTTGTCTTCTGGGGAAAGATGCATACATGTGCTTAGTTACATTCTTTTTTCTCTTGTTTTTTAGTATTTCCTGATTTCTTCCTTGAAGAGCTTCATAATATCTGCTAATGGGACCCTCTTCTCCACAACAGAATTTGACTTTGAAGCAGGTAGCCTTTATCAATGACCTTTCTTGAAGTTCCTTTATCTAAAGGTCAAAAAGCAGATATGGTACAGCCTGAGGGCAGCTAGGGAGGCCCTGAGCAATTTGCTTCCTTCTTCCTAAATTCAGAGGGTGAGCCTCAAAAGGGAATAAGGCAATTATATGTAAGGTCTCCTTCCCCTTCCAAAATCTTTGTCTGCAGATAATAAGAACAAAGATGTGAGAGAGGGCATCCAAAGATGGGGAGGATGGCCTCAGAGCCTCGCTGGCTTGGGAAAGGCAGCTGCCAGAGCTATTTGCTAACATGAAAGCAGCAGGGTGGAAGTGAGCAGGCCTCTGAGAAAAGACATGGGGAAAGGCTTGGGTTTGAAGATGAAAACACACAGGCTTTTTGGTCAACCCAGTTATGGCTCTTGGCTCTGCACTGGGTGTGAGAACCAGAGCTAGTTACTTATCCACAGGAGCCTTGTTTTCCAAATGTGGGTTTAATACACACTTTGCAGAGATGTTGTGAGGAACAATGGAGGTTGAGTGTGCAACATGGCAGGCATGAGCAGCCACGTGGTGAGGTGGTGGCGGTGAAGGATTAACCACAGGCTGAGAAATGTGGGAGTGGGCTTTTAGAGGCAGGGAAAGAAGGGTGGACATAGCATGTCTGACTCTGCAGGGGCATCTGGAGGGGGTGACAGAGAGGGAACAGATTCTTTCCTCCCTCCTCCCAACCCATTTTTTCCCACCTCATTTTGAAATAGTGTTAGCAATGCTTGATTGCCTCACTTGGGATGTTCCCCTGACAGTTACCATCTTATTGTGAAAGTGAGAGATAGCCAAGAGCTCAGAGCCTCCACATCACTGTGGGTGAACATTGTGAGCATCAACGATGAAACACCCCATTTTACCAGGTAGGCTCAGGGGCTATCATGGCTCCGTGGGTCATAGGCACATCTCTCTTAGGTGGTGGAGCCTCTTCAGGCACATCTAATACAAGACAGAAGGGTGTCTTGCTCTGGTCTGGAAGAGAGGTAATAGACCCAAGATCTTCATTGTCCTTTACCAGGGACTCTGGACTTCCATCTGCATCCTCACATTCATACACCACAAGATTGTGGGTATGGTGGGGAGGAGATGGGGCTGGACATGATAACCCTGGTTCGAGGCTTGCCACTGGGTTTATGGAGAAGGTAAATACAGTAGTCCCCTCTTATCCACAGTTTGGATTTTCATGGTTTCAGTTACCTAGAGTCAACTGCAGTCTGAAAACATTAAATGGAAGATTCGATAAATAAACAATTAGGAAGTTTTAAATTGCACATAGTTTTGAGTAGCATGAAATCTTGCAATGTCTTCTCCATCCCACCTGGGACATGAGTCATTCCTTTGTCCAGTGTATCCATGCTGTATATCATCTCCCCCACCTCCTTAGTCACTTAGCAGACCAGTGATTTTCAACCAGTGTGCTGCAAGAATTTTTAAAACATGCTGGGTGCTCTGAGCTCCTTCCTGCCATGGTGGACCCAGTAGAGATGTGGCTGGCAACTCCTACCTCCAGCACAGAGGAGGAAGGGAAATGAAGCTGGTGGAGGCAGCCTATGGGAATGTGCCTGACACCAGCTCAGGTGCAAAGGAGAGACCTGAGCCTGCCATGGATAAGGATTAAGAGGGCAAGATGGGATTCTGAGATAGCACATGACCCTGCAAACAGCTTGGCTTACTGTATAAGACTCTGCCCTGTTACAGTCACTGAGATGGGCTCATAGGCCAGGCACAAGAAAACTGGCAAAATCACCTGTCTGGGGTTAACTGCATTAATGACTGCAAATAAATTCAGCCTAGGAGACTCTACAACAAAAAGCCACTGGGCCTCATAATTATTCAGAATGCTTGCAAAAGTATTCTGGAATTGGGAGTAGTAAGGTCACCCCACTCCTGGGCTAACCTGGTACCATTTGGCAAAACACAGCATGGTTGTGAAATTTCTGGATTTTAACACAGTCTACAGCCCAGTTGCTGGATATTAATGTGGAGGGAACAGCAGCAGATATACTCCCACATAATGTTTCTTGTTGATGTTTGTTGCCAGGTTAAGCTCAAAAACATGAAGCACTGCATTTCTGCTGACACGTTCCTCTAGGAGCACAGTCCAGGCTGTTTATAAATAGTTATAACATCCCATCCTGGATTCATATTCAAGCATTGGCCCACACAGCACTGTGGATTCATCAGTAACCCCAAGTGGAGGGTGATGGCTATGGGGCGGAGCCGATGCATCCTGCAGTCCTTCCCCACCCCTGGTCTGTGAGGTGGGAAAACAGGCTAATGGGGTTGCAAAGGGGAAACTAGTTTTTCCCAGGAGGCAGAACTTGTAGACCATCTGGTTTGGACTGTGGCTTCCAAAATAAAGCAACTGACCTCAGAAGAAAGAGAACATGACCTTGGCTGGTTGTTGGAGCCCCAGAGATCAGTCTGGAACTCTGATTCTCACTTTTGGTTTGAAAAATGAATCTATTAGGCTCCATCCCAGACCTTTATGACCATCTAACCATTAAAAAACAACAACAAAAACCATTTGATTTTATTTCAAACAGCGTTCCACTGATGTTGGTACAGATGGGTCTGAGAGCCTGTGCTCTAGAAGGATTTGGGGCAGGATGGTTGCCTGACATTGCCCAGGCTGCGCAATCAGAGTCAGCTTAGTCCCTCAGCCACCAATGATTTAAAAAAGTTTGTTTAGCTTTGAACTAGGTGCTAACTTTGAGGGCTTTTTGATTCAACCATGATTCTTCTTCCCTCCAAATGAGTGCTAGGACTAACCATAAATTACTTAATTTTGGATTAACAAAATTAAATCCTCAAAATGACTCAAGTGCACTAAATTTGAGTGTGAAATAAAAATGTAAAATGTGGAAACAACTCTTCTATCTTTACTATTTGTTAAGGTCCTACAATTACTGTGACCAAAGCAAGGACTATATCTGTTGTTGAAAACATCTCACCATCTATCCCTGGGTGGTGACAAACATCTGAATGCTTTGTGGACTCATGAGTCTGCTCTGGGATTCTGTTATAATTCAAGTCGAGCACTTGATTATAAAAGTACTGGACTTATACTCTCTACATGCCAAGCACAATGCTTGTTATTTTTGCAGAGCACTGTTTTTGGAGTAGGTCTTTCTCCTCTCTTACCCATTTTTAAAAATTTTCTCACAGTCCTTTTCAACCTGGTACCTGGCAGTGTATACACAACTTATGCACTTATTAATATTTATTCATAGTCATGACATCATCACAGTCACACTGGACTCACCCTCTTTCCCATGAGTGTGGCCACTGGCCCTTTTCCACCCATTTCCCAGACTCTGGGGTCCTGTGTTATGAGGGGGACGGTGTGGTGGTGTGACTGGTGTCAGAGCTTCTGCGAGATGGCTGCCAAGCTCCTGGCTCCTCGTGCTTTGAATGGATCCTAACTGTGGTCTGAGGGCAACATTTTTGTTAAATGATATTTTATTCATACTTGTATCTTGTGTCTCAAAACCAAATAAACCAAAGATTTTATCTTTTGCCAATCTCAGTGTCAGGTCAGCCAAGCAGAGGATGTTTTCCTTGGGGAGCTGTGACAGCACTGATAGCCTGGCCAGTCCCCTTCATGGGGACCCGATTTCATGGAGTGCCTGGCATGGACTAGGAGAGCCTGCGGAAGAGGGTGCCTTGAACAGCTGTACTACTGACCTTTTGAGCTGGATACTTCCTTGTGATGGGGGGCTGTCCTGTGCATTGTGGGATGTTTAACAGCATCCCTGGCCTCTACCCCCTAGGTATCAAAAGCAACCTCCTTCCCCTAGGGCAGTGGTCCTCAACCTTCCTAATGCTGCGACCCTTTAATACAGTTCCTCACATTGCATGTGGACGTATCTGCATGTGGGTGGACCCGTATGGAGACAGATAGAGAAGGGGTGTCTCAGTTCCTAAGACCATCGGAAATATGTGTTTTCCGATGGTCTTAGGTGACCCCTGTGAAAAGGTCATTTGACCCCCAAAGGGGTCGCGACCCACAGGTTGAGAACTGCTGCCCTAGAGTGCCAACCAACATAATTGCCTGCAGTGGGAACCGCTGCCTTAGGGAAGGAGGGGTGGTGAGAAGGAGAGGATTCTCCTCCCAAGGTGTCCTGGGTCTGTCCTATGAGAAGCTGGGAGCCTGTGCTTGTCACCTCTAGTGACTCTTTATAATAGTCCTGCTCAGATTTTAAAGTGCATATCAGTCCCCAGGAGTCTTGTGAAAACGCAGATTCTGATTTCACAGGTTGGAGTGGGCCGAGGTCTGCACCCCCAGGGAGCCTGTTAGAAATCAGGCACGTGTGGGGTAGCAGGGGCAAGGCTGTGGTGATGGCACAGGTGTCTTTGTTGGATTTCTTTGTTGGAAGTTAACAGAACCCACTCCAAGTAAACAAATGACAAATATAACAGGTTATAAACAGGGGCTCTCAGGTGATGGCCATGAGGGCTTAATCCAGCCTTAGGAGCCAGAGCTGCCCTCTCTCCTCTGACCCTGGTTCAGTTCCTGCCACCCTGCCTCCTTGGCTCCACCCACTTGGCTAATCCTGGACCCATCAGTGGGCACAGCAAAGATTCCCTGAGAAGGGGGTTTGTGAGAGAAGTCAATGGATTATCAGGCTGCTTCAGTGGGACACTGGATGGAGAGAAGTCCAAAGCACCGGGTCTGATCTGAACAAGATTACTGTCCCTTAACAATGGAATGCACCTACAAGAGGTTATTTCATGAGTGGAGGCAGGCCCAGGGCACATGGAGGAGCCCTGGTGGGGGAGGGCCTGGGTCCAGCCTTTTTCTTCCTGCCTCTGACTCTGCTGAAGGTTCTCTCTCCTTTGTCCTCCCTCTGGCCCCACCTGCCCTCCAGGGTAATGAGACAGATCTGCAGAAATATTCTAGGCTCAGGAAATGAATGCCATCACTTAGATCTGAGGTGTAGTCTTCCCTCTTAAAGATCTTTCTTGGAAAATGCACACTTAGGAAACTGGTAAATTAGAGGTGACTATTTGCCTCAGTAAAAGTAAAAAATTAGCCCTGGCCAGTTAGGCTCAGCAGTTGGAGTGTCGGCCTGCGAACCAGAGAGTCCCAGATTTGGTTCCCACTAGGGGCACGTACCAAAAAAAAAAAAAAAAAAAAAAATTATTTTCCCTCAGTAAAAGGACTTCCTGCAGAGTTATTTTAAACAATAAGCCTCCTTGTACATTCAAGATTACTCAGTTTACCCAAGTTGTATCGTTAAAATGTCAAACATACCTGTCTTATTACCAGCCTTTTCCAAAGGCAGTGGAGGTCTGAGAAAGATGGGTAAATTGGCAATTTAGGCTATCTTGTAGACGTCATCCTTGGAGGACAGTATTCTGACCTTGGCTTCTGCCAGCAAGGGGAGGAGGGGGTGTTCTCATTTCTCCATTCAGAGAGCTGATCTCATGATTAATGCTACTTGGGAAGGTACACAAAATCTGTGCATAAGTTCTGCCTCCTTAAGCAAAGAAAAAAAAAAAGACAAGGGAGAAATAAACACTGAGCAGAGACACTAAAATAGAGAAGGTTTACAATTGATCTGGCTTTTGGTAGCTGCCGTGTGATGGCAGTCAGAAACCTATAGTTCTGGACATTATATCCAGATGGATTTTTAAAATTATTGAGGGAATTTTTGCACAAGGATTGGGAGAGAGAGAGAAGATAGTTGGACAGACCAACTATTCTTATTTTTTAAAAAGTTACTGGTGATGTGAAATGGCGTCAGGTGTGGGTGAAATCAGAGGCCATGGTCGAAGTAAATAATTGCAGTAACAGCGTTGCTTTCTTTGCATCCACAGGGATGTGATCTTTGGAAATACAAAAGCCAGTCTCCTGTCCTTTCAGCTGCTGAGTTCTCCCTCTGAGCATGCTGATGCAACTTCAACAGCTCAGAGCTATATTTAGTATTAACCAAAATACTCGCCTCCCAGACTCTACCCTCACATGTCCCTGAAAATTAGCTGTGTCTGCTGTATTTCTGTTCCATCCAAACGAGAGTGTACGTGATTCTGGAGGAGCTGGGTCCAGGAGCCATCATGGGTAATATCACAGCTGAGGACCCTGATGACAAAGGTTTCACCAGTTTCCTCCTCTATAGTATCACTATTGTTAACAGCTACTTCATGATAAATTAGTGTAAATTGCTCACACATCATTTATGTGCACCCTTTAATTCAGCCAGCCATTTGGACTGTTTTTCAAATATTTTATGTCTTCTGATCTGAGCATGCATTTTTGTGTAGAATATCATAAATTAACAGGGTAATAAGCACATTAAAAACAGCTGGCATCACCCTGGCCAGTGCAGCTCAGTGGTTAGAGTGTCGGCCTATGCACTGAAGGGTTTCAGGTTTGCTTCCTGGTTAAGGGCATGTACCTTTGTTGCAGGTTCATTCCCCAACCAGGCTGGGGTGCAGGAGGCAACCAATCAATGTGTCTATCGATGTCTCTCTCTCTCTCCCCTCTCTTGCCCCCTTCCTCCCATCCACTTTCTCTAAAAAGAAAAAATCAATCAATAATAATAAAAAAAATCCTTGGGTGAGGATTAACAACAACAACAACAACAACAACAACAACAACCCAGCTGGCTTGGGGGTTGTGGAAACTAACAGGGCCCTGTGTCCATGGCCGTATCACCACTTTACCCTTGAGGCAGGTTCTTATGTAAGGATGGGCGAGCTCATTATCCTGAGAGTACCTTGACATCTTCTGAAGGAGTGGGTCTAGACCAGTGTTGTCCAATAGAAATAGAATAGAAACTACATAAGTCATTTTAAAGTCTCTATTAGCCACATTTTTAAGAAGAGAAACAAGTGACATTATTTTTAGTAAGACATTTTAGCTAACCCAGCAGATCCAAAATATCATTTTAACATCTAGTTAATATTTAAAAGTTATGAATGAGATATTTTATATTATTGTTTTTTGTACCAAGTCTTTGAAGTTGTGTATTTTATAGTTACTGCAAATCTCAGTTCGGACTAGCCACTTTTCAAGTGCTAACCACATGTGGCTCGAGGTTATTGTATTGGACTGCACTGATCTAGATCAATTTGCTGGCTTGCTGGGCATTTTCCCCCCATATAAGTCACTCAGGGCAGAAGGGGAGTTTCTTTCCCCCATAATAGCCATCTTTTATGAGGGTATTAGTATATACCAGGCTCTATGCTGAGTAATCCACATGCTTTCCATCTAGAGTACTCAGCACACCCTGACCATTGTGGCTCAGTTGACTGAAGCATCATCCCATACACGAGAGGGTGGCGGGTTCCATTCCCGGTCAGGGCACATACCCTGGTTGTGGGTTTGATACACAGTTAGGTGTGTACGGGAGGCCACCAATCACTGTTTCTCTCTCACATCGATGTTTCTCTCTCTTTCTTTTTTCCTCTCTCTAAAAAATGAATAAAATAAAATAAAGTACTCAGGACAGGGACCCAATGAACTATCATAGCCTGCATTTGATAGATGAGAAAACAGAGGCTTAGAGAGAGACTCAGATAGGTTAAGCGACTTGTTTAAGCTCTCAGTTGTGAGTCTAAGATACAAACAAAAGCTGCCCAACTTCAGGTCTTACCCTCTTACTTCTAGACTGTATCACCTCATGAGTTCCTATCATATCACCAAAAAAGACTTCACTTTATATAATGGTTTTGTGGAGGCCAGCATTGAACAATCCCAGAAAGACAATATGTTATTTGCCCCATAGGTTTTAGGGCAAAGGATACCTGCTCCCAGGCAAAGGCAATAATTGTGCTCTACCTCTGAAAACTTTCTAATGCCCTGTCATCAAGGACCTCACTCAACTAATAGTATAGGGACAGACAACCATGGTTTAAAATTCTGTTCACGCTAATATGTAAACATTGGACTTTAAACAAATATAGTGTTTTGTGGGAGCATATTTAAGACTCTTTGTTTGTAAGAAACAGAAATTAAGGCAAGCCAAACCAAGCAAGAGGAAAAATAAATAAAGATAAAGACACTTCTCAATAGTATACTGAGTATCTCATGAGAAAGAGCGGAGTAGTCAGGACCTGGAAAAGATGGGGACCAAGTCTGCTCCAGTAACCTCAGCAGCTAGAGTTCTGGCCTCTTACCTGTAGCTCCACTGGTAACCTGACAGATTACCCAACTTCTGTCTCTCAGCTACGAATTCTCCACTAAGGGACCCAGTGGATTAGGCTGCAGTTTGCTGCCTACCAGTCCAGTCAACTATGGGCAAAGGCTGCTGTCAAGGGTCCAGCCCTGAAGTTTGGGGTGAAAAGTTCTAAAAGGGTCAGGCCAGATACCCCAATCAATGTCTAATACAGGAACTTAAACATGAATCTTAAAAAATGTATTTGTATGAGGATATTCTCTGTTTAAGCCAGTCCTCATATCAGAATGTTGTTGTTGTTTTTTTATTTACTACAAGTTTCCATTGGCTTCTACTTTTCATTTCTCTTCAAAGAGTCATATTCTAACCTTTGCTTTCTTAGTGACTGGTACCATCCAAGTGGCCCGCAGGCTAGACTGAGATGCAGGTGAATTAAGACAAAATCCTGTCATTTCTCTGGAAGTTCTGGTAAAGGATAGACCCTTTGGGGGCCAGGAGAATCGCATGCAGATAACCTTCGTGGTGAAAGACATTAATGACAACCCTGCTACTTGCACGAAATTCACCTTCAGGTATTCTCCTCCTGAGACTAGTGCTTGGTGTTTCACCTCCTCAGTGGTCTTCAGCCCTTTGGCCTCTCTGGTTATTCTCAGGTGAAGCTGAGGAATTATGGGCATTGAGACATGGCTTATATAAGTAGATTTGAACTGTCCAATTTAGTTGATAGGTTTTCCTTCCATCATCCTTTTTTCTTGCTTCTTTCATTTTCTTTCCTCTTCATTGTCTCCCTTCTCCATTTTCTGACTTGGTTAAAAAAAATTTGCATTTTGGTTTCCTCTACCACATGCTCATCTCCATTGGTGAAAAGTAGCACGGAGACTTGTTTGACCCTCCTTGGGATATGCCTTCCCTTATTTATTGCCACTCACGGCAAGATGGTGCTATTAGTTAGCAGTTATAGTTGAGACTTAGGATTAGTAAGTAGGAGTTCTGAGAGAAACACACCACCAGGAATATGAATAAATCAAACCAAATATTTACTTAAAACAAAAGACAACATCTAATTCACTTTACACAGCTTAACTGCATGTAAATAAAGGCAACAGAAAGGGGGAAATGCAGATACAAGTGTAATGCAAGTTATTTTGTATATTTTGATCTGTTGTTTGTCTCACAATGTATTCATCATTATTTTATTTTATTATTTTTTTAAATTTTATTTTTTGTTACAGATGTTTATCTTTTTAACCACATTGACACCCTCCTCACTATCCCCCCCTACCCAGATCCCAGCTTTGTTGGACATGTCCATTGGTTATGCATACATGCATATAAGTTCTGTGGCTTATCTCTTCCCACCCCTCACAACCCCCTCTGCTGAGGGGTGTCAGTCTGTACCCTACTTCCGTGTTTCTGAGTCTACCCTATTCCTCAGACTGTTATATTCATTATATTCCATATATAAGTGAGATCCTGTGGTATTTGTCTTTTTCTGCTTGGCTTGTTTCACTTAGGATAATACTTACCAGGTCCCGCCATGTCGTCTCAAAGGATAAGAGATCTTTCTTTCTTACAGCTGCATAGTACTCCATCGTGTATATGTACCACAGCTTTCTTATCCATTTGTATACTGACGGACACTTGGGCTGTTTCGAGATCTTCGCTATTGTAAATAGGGCTCCTATGTACATGGGGGTACATATATTCTTTCTGATAGGTATTTCAGGCTTCTTAGGATACATTCCTAGAAGCGGAATCACTGGGTCAAATAGAAGTTCAATTTTTAACTTTTTGAGGTAACACCATATTGTTTTCTATAGTAGCTGCACCAGTCTGCATTCCCACCAGCAGTGTACTAGAGTCCCTTTTTCTCCACACCCTCGCCAACACTTGTTGTTTGATGATTTGTTGATGGTGGCCATTCTGACAAGTGTGAGGTGATACCTCATTATTGTTTTAATTTTCATCTCTCTGATGATTAGTGATGTTGAGCATTTCCTCATATGTCTCTTGGCCATTTGTATGTCCTGTTTGGAGAGGTGTGTATTTAGTTCCTCTGCCCATTTTTTAATTGGGTTCTTTGTCTTCCTTTTGTTGAGTTGTATGAGCACTCTATATATTTTGGAAATTAACCCCTTATCTGATGTATCATTGGCAATGATCCTCTCCCATACAGTGGGTTGCCTTTCCATTTTGATGATTGTATCTTTTGCTGTGCAGAAGCTTTTGAGTTTGATGTAGTCCCATGTGTTCATTTTTTTCTTTGTTTTTGTTGCCTTAGGTGATGTTTCAGTGAAAATTCTGCTGCGTATGATGTCTGAAATTTTGTTAACTAGAGTTTCTTCTAGGATTTTTATGGATTCACGGGTCACATTTAAGTCTTTTATCCATTTTGAGTTTATTCTTGTGTATGGTGTAAGTTGATGGTCTAGGTTCATTTTTTTGCATGTAGTCGTCCAATTTTCCCAACACCATTTATTGAAAAGGCTGTCCTTACTCCACCGTATGCTCTTGCCACCTTTGTCAAATATTAATTGAGCATATTGCCGTGGGTCCATTTCTGGGTTCTCTATTCTGTTCCACTGGTCTATATGCCTTTTTCTTGCGCCAGTACTAGGCTGTTTTGATTACAGTAGCTTTGTAGTATAACCTGATATCTGGTATTGTGATCCCACCTACTTTATCCTTCTTTTTCAAAATTGCTGTGGCTATTCGGGGTCTTTTTTGGTTCCATATGAACTTTTGAAGTATTTGTTCTAGTTCTGTAAAATAGGTCGTTGGTATTTTGATGGGGATTGCATTGAATCAATAGACTACTTTGGGTAATATGGACATTTTAATTATGTTAATTCTTCCAATCCATGAACAAGGTATGTGCTTCTACTTTTTTATATCTTCCTCTATTTCTTTTTACAATGTCATGTGCTTTTCTGCAAATAGGTCCTTTATTTCTTTGATTAAGTTTATCCCCAGGTATGTTAATTTTTTTGCCATGATGGTAAATGGGATTGTTTTTTCAGTTTCTCTTTCTGTGAGTTCATCATTGGTGTATAAAAATGCCATCTATTTCTTGACATTAATTTTGTATCCTGCTACTTTGCCAAATTCATTTATTAAGTCTAGTAGATTTTTGATGGAGTCTTTAGGGTTTTCTTTGTATAATATCATGTCATCTGCAAATAATGACAGTTTCACTTCCTCCTTTCCAACTTGTATCCCTTTTATTTTTTCTTCCTGTCTGATTTCTGTGGCTAAAACTTCCAGTACAATGTTAAATAAGAGTGGTGAGAGTGGACATCCCTGTCTTGTTCCTGTTCTTAATGGAAATGTTTTTAGTTTCTGCCCTTTGAGTATGATGTTGGCTGTAGGTCTTTCATATATGGCCTTTATTATGTCGAAATATCATCCCTCTATTCCCACATTGCTGAGCGTTTTTATCAGAAATGGATGGTAGATTTTGTTGAAGGCCTTTTCAGCATCTACTGATATGATCATGTGGTTTTTATTCTTCATTTTGTTTATGTGGTGTATCACATTTATTGATTTGCAAATATTGTACTAGCCTTGCATCCCTGGGATGAATCCCACTTGGTCATGGTGAATAATTTTTTTTGATGTATTTCTGGATCCGATTTGCTAATATTTTGTTCAGGATTTTGGCGTCTATGTTCATCAGGGATATTGGCCTGAAGTTCTCTTTCTTTGTAGTGTCTTTTTCTGGTTTTAGAATTAGAATTATGCTGACCTCATTAAACAAGTTTGGAAATCTTTCTTTTTCTTGAATTTTTAAGAAAAGTTTGAGGAGAATGGATGTTAGTTCTTTTGTGAATGTTCGTAAACAACCCCACACCCATCCCCGGTTAAGCCATCTGGGCCTGGGCTTTTGTTTGCTGGGAGAGTCTTAATTTCCTCTTCAATTTCCTTAGTTGTTATTGGTCTGTTCAAGTTTTCTATCTCTTCCCAGTCCAGTTTTGAGAGACTGTGTGTTTCTAGAAATTTGTCCATTTCGCTTAGATTGTCAAATTTGTTGCCATATAATTGTCCATAGTAGTTGTTAACGATCTTTTGTATTTCTGTGGTGTCAGTTGTTACTTCTCCTCTTTCATTTCTGATTTTGTGTATTTGGGTTCTCTCTCTTTGTTTCTTGGTGAGTCTAGCTAAGGGTCCATCAATCTTGTTTATCTTTTCAAAAAACCAGCTCTTTGTTTCATTGATCCTTTGAATTGTTTTTTTGGTCTCTATGTCATTTATTTCTGCTCTGATCTTTACTATTTCCTTCCTTCTACTTGCTCTGGGATTTTCTTTTTGTTTTTCTTTCTAATTCTTTAAGTTGTGAGGTTAGACAGTCAATTAGAAATTTTTCTTGTTTCTTGAGGTAGGTCTGTAGTGCTATGAACTTCCCTCTCAGAACTGCATTTGCTGCATCCCATAGATTTTGTGTTGTTGTGTGTTCATTTTCATTGGTTTCCAGGAAGTTTTTAATTTCTTCCTTGATCTCCTCAGTCACCCATTTATTGTTTAATAACATGCTATTTAGCCTCAATATGTTCAAATATCTTTGCATATTTTTGTTTTAATTGATTTCTAGTGTCATGCCATTGTGATCTGAGAATCTTCTTGAACTTATAGAGATTTAGTTTGTGTCCTATCATGTGGTCTATCTTTGAGAATGTCCCATGTGCACTTGAGAAGAATGTGAATTCTGTAGTTTTGGGGTGTAATTCTCTGTTGATATCTATTAAATTCATTTGGTTTAGTGCTTCATTTAGAGTCTGTGTTTTTTTGCTAATTTTTTGTCTAGAGGATCTATCCAGTGGTGTCAACGGGGTGTTGAAGTCCCCTGCTATGATTGTATTCTGTCGATTTCTCCTTTAAAGTCCTCCAGAAGATATTTAATATATTTTGGTGCTCCTATATTGGGTGCATATATGTTTATCAAGGTTATATCTTCCTGTTGGATACATCCTTTCAATATTATGTAGTGGCCTTCTTTTCTCTAGTTATAGCCTTCATTTTGAAATCTACTTTATCAGATATGTGTATTGCTACCCCACCTTTTCTTTGCTTTCCGTTTGCTTGAAAGATTTTTTTCCATCCCTTCACTTTCAACCTATGTGTGTCTTTTGTTGTGAGGTGAGTCTCTTGTAAACAACGTATAGATGAGTCATGTTTTCTTATCCAGTCAGCTACTCTGTGTCTTTTTATCGGAGCATTCAGTCCATTTACATTTAAGGTGACTATTGATATGTACTTATTTATTGCCATTTTTGTTTAGTTTGGTTATATTTTTCTTCCTATTTCTTCTACTAATTACAGCAGTCCTTTTAACATTTCTTGTAGTGCTGGTTTGGTGCTAATGTATTCCCTTAGCCTTTTTTTTTTGTCTGGAAAGCTCTTTATTTGACCTTCTGTTTTGAATGACAGCCTTGCTATTTAGAGTAATCTTGGATTCAGATCCTTGTTTTTCATGACCTTGATTACTTCATGCCATTCCCTTCTGGCCTGTAGTGTTTCTTGTGAGAAGTCAGCTGAGAGCCTTATGGGATTTCTTTTGTGGGTAACCTGTTGCTTCTCTCTTGCTGCTTCTCTCTTGATTCTCTCTTTGTCTTTAATTTTTGGCATTTTAATTACTCTGTGTCTTGGTGTGGGCCTGTTTGGGTTCTTCTTACTTGGGACTCTCTGTGCGTCTTGAACTTGAATGCCTTCTTCCTTTACCAAATTAGGAAAGTTTCCTATCACTATTTCTTTGAATATATTCTCTAACGCTTGCTCATTTTCCCCTTCTTCAGGGACTCCTATGATGAGAATGTTATTACATTTCCAGTTGTCCCACAGTTCTCTTAAGCTGTCTTCCTGTTTTTTAATTGTTTTTTTTTCCTTTTGATTTTCTGATTGGTTAATTTTTTTCTACCCTGTCTTCTAATTCACTGATCCGGTCCTCAGCTTCCTCTACTCTGCTCTTTAGACCTTCCAATGTGTTCTTTATTTCTGATATGTCACTCTTGATCTCTTCTTGGTGGTTTTTATTTTTTAATTGGTTTATTTTCAGCATCTCTATGTCCTTACTCATGCTGTTTAGCTTCCTCAAGATCATGGCTCTAAATGCTAGCTCTGTTAACTTGCCTAACTGCTCCACATTGATCTCATCTTTGGTGGGGGTCTCTTGTTCTTTCATTTGGCTTTTGTTTCTGTGTTTCACCATTTTGGCTATCACTGTGGGCTTTGGAGCCTGCCAAGTTTTCGCTGTGGGTATTGGTGTTCTGCTGTTTGTGGCTCCCTCTCCTGGGTTTGGATGAGCCAGGGAGGACCCATAATAAATACCACTGTCAAGTCTTACTTTCCTGGTTAGAATTGCTATCCCAGGAATGGTACTGTTATCCTCTAGCTTTTTGCCTGGAGGCCAGCAGTCCAGGTTACTTGAAGAGTTTTGGGTTGTTAGTTAATTGAAAAACTCCCTCATGTGCTCAGTGTAAGGGGATTTCCTGAGGGTGGGGCAGATGCTGGTTGTTAGTAAGCCTGAATTTGCATTTCAATGGCCCACAGGGTGGTGTTGAATCTCAGAGGGAGGGGCTGCTGCCTCTCCCCAGAGCCCTGGGAAGGAGCAATATGGCCACTGTCCTGCGTTGCTGCAACTCAGCAAAAGCTCTGAGTGCCCTCCAAATCTTGAGTGTCCCCACACAGTTCCAGTACAGTCTGCCCTTCCTCTGCCGGAGCCCAAGGTGAGTGGCTGTGGCTGTTTTAGCCTCTGTCCCGGCTCTGCGCTGTGGAGCCGCTTGGGAGTTTAACCTGAGGGCACTGTTCACAGCCCCCTTCTCGTGCCTTAGCAATCCTACCAGGATCGAGTCATTATCCCTTGTTATATGGTCCTTGCAAGCTGCTTTTCTGTTGCTTTTTCATCAATTAGTCTGTGTTTTAGTTGTAATTCCAGTTTGGTCCTGGGAGACGGTGTGTGTAGCTTCCATTCACTCGGCCGCTATTTTTCTCCTATTCATCATTATTTTAAAATTAAGTCCCTTGTGATTCTGGTTTAATACGTCTTTTTAAAAACAGTAATGTCTTTCTACTAACTAGTTTGTCTAAATGCCACAGGATTAGTAGTTGCCTGGGTTAGCTTCATCTTCTCAGTGCCTTTGGAATAGCTAGCTCCAGTTTCTTAGGAGTCTGACGGTGGCTCCTCCTGGAGGAAGGCTGAAGACTAGAGTAGGTCTCATTTCAGATGTCACATGGAGAGAGTCTCCTTTGGAGTTTATCAGTCTATCTTTGACTAGATTTGGAAGTTGACTTTTTGAACTCCAGGTGACATTGGACACACACACAATATCATAATGTGGCTGTGCAAAGAACAAAGGATCCTAACAAAGATTGTTTAGGGCAAGCAATAGAAATAAATTCCTTTATTATGTTTTGATGAATGCCTCCCTGTTCTCCCAATTGTCATGCCCAGCATAATTCTAAGATTAAGTGTAGCCTTGAGTCTGATATCAAAACTGTTAAACCCTGTTCTGGACACATTCCACCACCCCTTCAGATCCAGCCTCCAGCCTCTCCACCCTGCTCTGTGCCCCAGGAGACTGACCTGTATGGATATCAGCTGGCTCCCTTACCCTGCAGCTTCTAGTTGTCCAGTGGAAGGACAGGGAGCATGAAGTCAGGGTATTTATCCCTTGGCTCCCTTCCTGTACACTGGATGAGTTCCTCCACCTCCTGAAGGTCTCAGTTTCTTTAAGTCAGCTCTCAGTACACAGCACTGTCCATCCCTGGGTTCCAGTTTCAGGAACTACTCCTTGCACTGGCTCCTCCAGGCTACAAATGGTAAGGAAGCCCCACTCTTACTAGGCCGAAGATACTGCACCATCCCTTGAGATTTCCTTATACCCTAAGTGTATCTTTGTAATAGTCCCTTTACTAAATCTCCTTTTGAATTATTCTAACTTGCCATCTGCTTCCTGCTAAGGTCCCAGTCAACTCAATAATAACCTTGACCTTGTGATAGATTCTTATTCTAGCCCTAACCTCAGAGTCTGTTTGATGAATGGAGATGGTGCCACAGGTAGTTAGGATTGTGACTTCTACCCTGTTACATGCATAAATATAACCCACCTCTCTTAAGAGAAGTCTAGGCCCTGGGAATGGAGTAGAGATGGAGTAGAGTCACGCCTCTACTTTCTTTGAGAACCTAAATCGATGCTAGCATTCTTGGGTGGCTCCAGTGCTTCCTGGGGGATTCCTCTTCTCATATGCTGCCTTTCTAGGCCCTACTGCTCTACTTCTGTCCCCTGCCCTGCAAAGTGGGGAGTAGGGGTTGAGGAGTATGGACTCAAGTTTCGGTGACTGGAGAGGACTGTGCTGTCTCCACCTTCTTTGTCAGCTTTCTCCCCTTGGTGCAGTTCTGTTACATGCATATTGTGGCTTCCTGCAGTTTGGAGGTCCCTGATGTGTGGGATGACCATTTTCAGACTGCATTTCATACTGGCTGGTAAAATCACATTTTGAATTTCCTAGACTGTCTAGGCAAGCCCATGCAGAATCTTATTCTTTATAATCTTCTCTCCAAATTAATCCTGAAGGTCAATGCCAGCCAGTAGGTGGGCTAATTGTATTTATTACAGAAGATAACTGTAAATAATGTTCAAGTCCCTCCTCTATGCTTTTTCAGTGAGAGTAACTCACAGCCATCCTGTGAAAGCCAAGACGTGAGGAGGGACACCAAAGGCCTCCTGCCCCTACAGTCCCAGAAGTGCTCTTTACTTCAAACCCAGTTTCATTTGCATACTCCAAGGGCTGGGAAACTGACCGTGCATCACCTCCTATCCTCCCATCCTTACCACTTTCTCCATTCCCACCATGCCAGAGCCGAAGCATACCAACAACAGAACTAGTGCGGCCATGGTCTCCTGCCTGTCTCTAACAATACTTGTCCCTGAATATTTACTCCTTCAGGGCTTGGTGTGGTCCCTGAATTAGAGTTTGGGAGAGTAAGTTGAAGAGATTGGGAGGAGGCAGGGCTGCAGGCCCCCCCCCCCCCCCCCCCCCCCCCCGCCTAGCTTCCCTGTGAGTCTTGGGCTCTCATCCTGGCCGACATGGAAACAGCCCTTAGGCTGAGGCCTCTACTTTTCCCAGGGCCCTGATGGAGGCCTCAGAGGTCTGTTACAACTGCCCCACCGCCACCTCCTGCCCCGCTCTGCGCTCTGCTATAGCTGCAAACTATCTGGCTTCACAAGAGCCAGAGATGGAGAAGGTCAGCTTATTCCCAGTGCAGCTGGGCCAGTCACATTTGCCTGGGGAGGGAACCGTGGTCAGATGGCTGGGTGTGGGGGCAGCCTATGTTTGAGGCAGGGATTGATGAACAGGGAGAGAGGTTTTCTAAGTCAAGTGTTTAGGGGAAAAATACCACATATCAGAGAAGAATGAAAAGAACATGTCAGGAAACCTTGAGGGGCAGGGCTCACTCACATTTTAGATAGGACAGCCAGCATAGCCTCCTGAGAAGGTGACATTGGATTAGAGACTAAGGAAAATGAAAAAGCAGCCATACGTATATTGCTGAGAAGGGCATCTCACAGTAAGTGGAATGGCCCTGAGGCCAGAGCCTGGGGAGTAGTCAAAGAGCACAAGGGACTGGAGTAGAGGAACAAGGAGAAGTGTTAGTAGGTGATGAATTCAGACAAGTTAGGGCAAGGGGTAGTGGTGTACACCATGAAGGGTCTTGTAGGTCCAAGTGAGGACTTTGAGTTCAATGAGGAGCCACTTGGGATTTAGGAGCAGAGGAGTGACCTGAACTGACAGCATTTTAACAGGATCCCTCTGGCTGGTGTGTTCAGAATGGTCAGAAAGGAGGCTAGGGCAGAGAAGAGACTCCAGTTAGGTGATTACTGCAATTACCATGGAGTTGAAATTAAAGCAGAGATGTCTAGTCTTGGGTCTATGTCAGAAGAAACACTCAATCACCATTTGCTGGGGAAAATATTGAATCATGTCTCTTTGCCAGCATTATGGTGCCTGAAAGAGAAGCCAAGGGGACACTGCTCTGGACCTGAACACAGTCTGCTTTGATAACGACACTAAAGCAAAGCACCAAACAGCCAATTCAACTTCACCATTCAAACATGCCATCTGGAGTGAGGAGCCACGGCAGATTCTTACAGGATCCAGCTGGCTCTGGGACAATTGTGGTCAGTTCATGGTCATTGCATCATTGAAAGGGCATGCGGGAAGCTGGTCTAACAGGCATGGTGCTTTTGCTGCCCTTGAGAGAGAAATTTCCAAGGCAACTCTCTTTCTGTGTGGCTGTAACTGACACACTGAAAGTGACTCTGTTTTCCCCATTTGCTCTGTATTTTACCCAAGTTCTGGGAGTCATCTGTTATGCATAGTTTTGCCCTGGGTGCTGAAGACTGGATTCTTTCTTGCGTAGCTTCAGTTTGCTGTGCTTGCTTAGCTGCCTCCATAGGCCCTGCGGGCTCAAGCACTCTAGTGTATTTGAGTGCCTTCCTGGCCCATGGAGGTGTGAAGTAGGAGACAGCAGGTCCAGGGCCATGAGTGTGTCATGCTAAATATAGCCTTGTAGAACCACTGCAGACCCAAAGGGAATGAGAAGGTGAAGCTGTTTAGGTAGCCTCACTCTGCATCATCTTTACAGGGGCAAAAGCAGAATTGGAAGCAGGATGGGCATAAAAAGCAGGTCTCAAGGAGCTGTATAGACCTTTACCTATAGGGTTTTCTCTGGAGGGAAAATGGAAGGGCAGAGGACAGTGGTGGGGTGCGGGTGTTGGAGGGGAGTGGTCCTGCTTGGGGGGTGCTGTCCATCAGAGAAGAAGCCTTAGGGAGGAGAGCAAGCAGCCAACTAGGAGGCATCCTCTCACCCACCTCCTTCTCCACCTCCCATCTTAAGCTCTTCTTCTGTCCCCAAGAAAGTCTTACCAATTTTATTCAGTGTCAGCTAAAAAATATTTTTTATTTTTTTCTAATTAAGAAATTAATACATGCTCAATATAGAAAATGTAGAAAACATAGAAAAGCATTGCCATTCAGTGATAACCACTATTAGCATTTTGATATACTTCCTTCTTAACTACACATAGATTTTATATATATTCTATACATATATGCATAAGTACTTTAAATGATGGAATTATTCCTGCATATAGGATTCTATGTTGTGCTTGTCTTCAACTAACCTGAGGTCTTCAGCCTATGCTGTTGGACAGTAGTGCTTGATGAGCATCTTTAAATGTAGATTCTTTCCAATAAATTCTCTAGTAATGAGCAGAGTTATGGACATAACTTTTTAAAGCTCCTCATGCAGGCAAAATGCTTTATAGAATGGTTTTCCAAATTACATTTCTACTAACAAAAAAATATCTTCATCGGTTGAATTAAAAGGATTGCTTTTCTGTGTAATCTGATATCTCTGTTTTAATCTAGTTGGTGATCTAGATTATAAAAACCCAAATAATCTAGCAGCTGGCAATAAATACCTGGTGATAATTCAGGTACGGGATGTTGCCTGTCCTTACTACAAAAGCAAGTATCATTTTGATTTATTTCATGAAGAATCTTCCTTGAGTAGCAATGATTAGACTGCTAGGTAGTATTCACTATTGGGCTTGGTATTTGTGTTAAAGAGGAGACTTCAAAAAACCCAAACACTCAGGAATCAGCCCTGCTTCCGTCTGCCCGTCACCAAGTACATTGCATTGGTCTCCGAGTCCTTTCTTTTGTGTCACCTTCTAAAATCTCAAGCTTCTCTTGCCTCCCCTCCCCACCCACCTCCATCTCACTAATACTGCTCTAATGCAGAACCTCCTCTTTCTTGGCTGAATTACAACATTGAGTTTTAAGGATGTGTCTGACTTTGTCTTGCCCCTTTCCAAAGCATTCTCCACATTTCTGAGTGACTTTTAGGAAATGCAAATGCCATCATATTAATTCCTTGCTTAAAGCCCTTGAGTATCTCCCCATAGCTGTTAAGTTCTAGTTCTAATTCTTTAGCTTGGCACACAAGGACTTTCGCCATTTGGCCCCTGACTAACTCTCTAGCTTCAGATCCAGTGGTTTGCTTCGAAAGGCCTTTTTTTTCTAACTAGGCCAAACAGCTTGCAGTTATTCTGAGTGAATCATGAAGTTTTATACCTTGGTATCCGTTCACATGCCTAGAATCACACCCTCACACCCCCCATCCGCACATTTGTCCAGCTCTAAGCCTCTTTGTGAGGCTCAGTTGCACTTCCCCTGGCTTCAGTAGTGACCTGCACATGTGTTTATCAGAAGGCCACTGCCCGAAGCATTGCGAAGGCAGGAACGGCCAGGTTTACTCACCTTGTATCCTCAATGTTTTATACAGAACTTGTGACACAGAAGACGCTTTAAAAATGTTTAATAAACAAGTGAATGAGAATAGAATAATATGATTTAAATTTTTTTCTATTTCTATTTTTAGATAACATCTACATGTATGTCCTAATAAGCCCAGAAAATGAGGTTCCTCTTGTCTTTGATCAGCTGTCCTAAGTATTTGATGTGTCAGAAATAAGCCCAGGTAAGTAATAGATGAGAAACAGTCCAAAAGGGCTCTTGATGGACTCCAACCAGACACACATTTGCTAGAGGGGACGCGCCCTTCCAGAGGCCCCGTGTGGTACTCTGCACAGCGATTCACAGCTGAGTCGTGTTTATTGCATCTCTTACTCTTCTTAAATCGTCCTCACTGCTGAGGAGCTCTTCACGTAACTCCAGATTTTGAAAACTGTTGATTAAACTGCATTTCTCTGAACCCCCTGATTGCTGCCTAGTCAGTGTGCCTGATTCTACTGACCCTCCTTTGCTATAGTCAGAGTTCTCCCTCGGTCTCCACTGTGTTTTTTATCTAGCTCATTCAGAGAATTGAAATTTTAAAATAGAGAAAAGGTTTCCCATTTCTAGAGTTCATTCATTTAAAACAAAATAAAGACATTTTTTTCTCCCTTAATAGGGTTCACTGGAGGCCTATTTTTGGCCCTTTATGATGCCTGGATTTCTGCAGGCTCTACCCCTTTAACGAGAGGACGCCCACTTCCAGCTGCAGATGCTCCCTATCTTTCTTAGTTTGAAGGTGGTCCTATTAATTCCAGTGTACAGGTTTTTATTTATTTATTTTTATCATGGATATTTCTATATTTAAAACAAAAAACTAAATCAAATGCTCTCAAATTATCTCCCTTCCATCTTATTTCTCTCTTTATGATTGTCTCCACTTTATTCTAAATTTATCTCCTCTCCATTTTATTCTCTCTTTATGATTGTCTCTATTTGCTGACATTAAGTTTTAAACAAAACACAAAAAAAGGGTCTAAAGGAATTGCTTTTAATTCTTTATCCCTTGCTCAGTGTCTAACAAATGCAACAGGAGTGGGTTTTTTATAAATTCAAAGATCTTTCTACAGTCATTGACCACCTACTTTGAGTCAAGCTCTTAGTGCTTGCTGGGGTTATGTAGTTGAATGAGAGAAGGTTTCTGTCCTTGAGGAGTAAAATTTATGAAAAAGAACTTCCACAAAACAAGCAAGCCAGAACTCCAGCAGTCCCACCAACAAGATTTGTAAAATAAAGAAAGTGAAACAATATTTAAAAATTATACTCTATAATATAATATCTAATCACTGGGGTGTATACCTGAAACTAATACAATATTGTATGTCAACTAATTAAAAAATTAAAATGGTGAAAAATTTTTCAAAATCTATACTATGTAATCTGCTAAACTCTTAAAAACTCTTTTCATCTTATGTATAAGAGTGATTCATGCTCATTATAGAAAACGTGAAAAATACAAAAGACTTTTAGAATGTTCTCTGCAGTGTTGTTTACGATAGCATAATGATTGGTGTCATTGGAATCTGTATAAAAGTATAAATTGTCTTTTACACCTCACAGTATGGCTGGGATCATAGGACCAGTGACCTAGAGGGTGATCATTAGCATAATTTGAATGTAATAGACCTGAAGATATAACACACAGAGTTTGAATAGCAAAGGGGTCTCCAAATGCCTTTCTGCCCATGGCAATGAGACAGTCTACTCCTGGATCCTCCCTGCACTCCCAAAGCAGGACTAACCTCAGGTGCTTTATTCTTGCAGTGAGAGCCCGGGTTGGATGGGTGCAAGCTACTGATAAAGACTTCCGCAAGAGCAGCACTGTGTACTCCATCTCTACTGGAGGGGCCAGCCCTCAGTACCCAAATGTATTTTGGATTAATCCCAAAACGGGAGAACTCCAGCTGGTGACTAAAGTGGACTACGAAACAACCCCCATCTATATTCTCAGAATCCAGGCCACCAACAAGGAGGACACAAACTCAGTCACTGTGAGTGGATCTGTTGTGGTGTGTTCACACCAGCCTGAATGGCTGACTCAGGGTCTCTCTGGCACTCTCCAGGTGTGCCTGCAGCAATAAGAAATCTTAATAGGGCACATCCTCCAGATGTGACAGGAAATGACTGGTGGTGTCCAGGACAATGCATTTGGACACACAGAGCAGTGCCCAGGAAGTGGGTGACTGGGACGAGTGCTGAGTTTGATGACTACCTTGTGTGACCAGTGTCCTCTGGTTGCCCTTTACATCTCCCTGTGCTTTTTTTTTGCATTCATCTTCAGATAGAGCAGGAGGGAGAGAGGGAGGAAGAGAGAGAGAGAAACATCAATGTGAGAGAGACACATAGACTGGCTGCCACCCACACGACCCCAGTGGGGGCCAGGGACAAACTGCAACTGAGGTACATGCCCTTAGCGAGAACTGAACCCAGATCTCTCTGGACCACGGGCCAATGCTCTAACCGCTGAGCCAAATCGTCCAGGGCTCTCCCTGTGCTTTTACAGTGGGCTGGTGTATGCTGCCACAAGTGGGGTGTGTTTTGGTAGCTATACATTTCCTCCCCTCTCCCAGTAGCTGTGTTCCTGCCCTACCACCTTCACACCAGATGGGGTAGATCTTAAAATGATGTGGCTTGACTATGGCTATACTTCTTCTCAACCTTTGCTGTTGAGAATCTGGTTAAATGCAGATTCTGAGTCTGCTGGTCTGAGTAAGGCTGAAGAATCTGCATTCCCAATGGGCTTCTAAGTGGTGCTGATGCATCTGGTCCAGGGCCACACTTTGAGTAACAAGGCTTAACAGGTCTGTGCTGTCAGTAGTTAAGATTATCTGAGGGTAATATGATGGCCACAAGGACAGAACTATTTCTTCCTCTTTCCCATTAGTAAAGTGAAAAAGCATAAGGCAAAAGGAACTCTCAGCTAGCGGCAGGTAGCCCCGTGTAATAGAGAGAATGACTGGTTCAGAATCAGGTGACAGAGTTTATTTCTTAACTTTGATCCCAATTTTCCAAGGAGGGGGTCTCAGCCATGCTTATCTTTGTGTCCCAATTTCTCAGTCTCTTAAATGGAGAGTCACCCGATCATGCAACACCTGATTAGTCCAGTTCCTCTCATGACTTACTTTGAATTACCTGGACGATGGTTTTAATGATGCGTGAAGCTTGGCATTGCCTGCTGAGGAAGAGATGTGCTAAGTTGGAGATAATTGTAGTGTTTGTTAGGCTAGCTTTTTGAGAAAAATGAATGGACTCCACTTTGGGAGCTAACTAGAGTGAATATTTCAATTTATTCCCGATTTCAGAAATTGTTGAAATCTCCAAATTTCAAAGGTAAAATAAATTTGACTCAAAATTCATAAGGTTTTAAAAAGGGTGATGATCACATAAGTTCCTTCCAGGGCTGACATTCTGTGGTTCTGTGCTGGCAGGCATCCCAGCCCATATTGCAATTCTCCGGGCAGCAATGAAAGAGAATAGGCTGGCCCTGATGGTGACAGGTGATCGCCACCAGCTTAGTGCATTCTAATAATGCAGGTTACAGATGAGATCCCAGCTCAGCCAGGTTGTCTCATTTCATCCTAGTGGTTCTCGACCCTGGCTGCATGTTAGAATCAGTGGGGGAACATTAAAAAAAAAAAAAAAAAAGTGCCCAGGCCCCACCCTGCAGAAATTCCAATTCATGTGATCTGGAGAGAACCTAAGAAAGGGGAGCCAGGGTTGAGAACCATTACTCTATATTCCAAAGTTAAAGATGCAACTTCCAGTTCACAAGGGCAATGAACAGGGAAGTACAGAGGGTCTCCATAAATCTATAATTGCTGCAGGAAAAACAATTCAGCATTACCTAGACACATGAGCCCCATGTGTCTAGATGCATTTATGTGGATCTCCTATGAATGTATACACATATTATGCACATGTGCACACACACATAGTATAGAAGTTAATAGCATCAGACTTGGAGTAGGGGCAGACCTGCGTTCAAATCCCAGTGTTGGCACTCACCAGATGAATGACCTTGGGTCAATTACATAATCTCTCTAAGCCTCAGTTTCCTCATCTGCAAAATGGGAATGATTGTGTTATCTATCTCAGAACAAGTTAAATGAGCTGGAGAGACCACAAAAGTGCAGAGCACAGAGCCTGGCACACAAGAAGCACTCAGAAAGTTTTAGCTACTGACAATGGCCTTCTTGCTATTCTAGGTTACTGTTAACATCCTGGAAGAAAATGATAAAAAGCCAATTTGTATCCCAAACTCTTATTTCATGGCCATCCCAGTGGATCTGAAAGTTGGCACAAATGTTCAAAATTTCAAGCTGATGTGTACTGATCGTGATTCCAGCCCCAGGTCTTTTCGTTGCTCCATTGGCCTCGGTACTGTACCTGATGTCAACAGCCTGGCCTGGCTCTTGGGGTTGGAGGCCTTAGCTGCTGGTCAGGGAGAATGGAGTGGGGGATGGGGGACCTGTGCTCACATGCCGATTTGGGCACCGTGTGTATGGGTGTGGGATTGTAAATGAGGAAAGCAGGGATAAGAAAGAATGGTCCCAGTGCCTCCCAGTCCTCCTCTTGTCTTCCTTTTCTCCTCACCTAACTCCTCCCAGATTCTCATACAAGGCTCCCCAGAGGCCCAAGGGAGGGTGTACCCAACTGATGGTGATCCCTAAATTCCCAGCCTATCATATGGTTCATGAATCATGTCAGTGTAGTTTAAATTTTTTTAATCCAATTGCTCAACCTGCAAACTTGTAGTGGGGGCAGAGAATCCCAGTCCTCTCTGGATAATAATACGTAGATTAAATAGATTATATGCATTTTAAAATGTAACTTCAGGAACTTTCTTCTGCTCCATTCATTTTCTCTCTTTAAAAATATACCACTGTGGGGTTAAAAAACAGCACCCCTCAATAGAAATGAAACCAAAATAGCTCATCTAATGAAGTGCTGGGGCCGGAGATGTAAACCCAAACAAGCAGAACAATTCCAAGTGAAAGACTAAAATCCTATTTTGGCTGTCTGCTGAGCCCTGGTGAGCAGGAACTCTAAACAGTAGGAAGCCTCTTGAGCAGGCTGTCACACAACCCAGGGGCAGAGACGGCCTCCCTCAAGACTGCAGTTGCTGAAGATGGAAATAACCCAAACTGAGAACCCTCAGGCCTTTATGGAGCATTTCGCTGCTAAGGGAGTAAAAATTGCATCATCTCCTGCTCCATTTACTGATTTTCAGTCAGTAATGAGTCTGGAGCCACCAGAGGAATGAGCAAGGGCTGCGTGGGCGGGCAGCCTTCCTGCCCAGTTCTCCGAGCTGGGAGCCCTGAGTCCTAACAAACCTCGGACGAGGCAGGAATGGGGTAGATCCAGGAGGACCTGGGACTGCAATCCCTGCAAAGCCAGGAGGCATCTTCCTTTGGGGGAACTCCAGGGACATATGTCACCAGTTCTGTGTGACCCACTAACTTCCATGAAAGGCATGGAGTAATCTTGGTCCTATGGCTAAGGATGTTCCCCCTCTACCCTCTTGTGCCCACTTATTGGTCTGAGGGCAAGTTACACATGGTTGCCAAATAAATGCTGCGTGATAAGGATTGGCTCGAGAGGCTGCATCAGGATTCTCTGCTTGATGCTCCGCAAAATAGCGGCCATTCTCTTCGGACAGGTGTGCTGTTGTCCTTTTCTACTCCCATCCTTGTAGCCACACTGGTTGTGAGTGAGAGTTTCTTTATACTAATAAAATTTCTGGTGCAGGTAAGGCCAATATTGTAACCCTGGTGCGTCAGGAATAGTCTACTCCAGAGGTGTGGATATTTGTGGAAAAGACTCGATGCAGTTTTCCTCTAAACCTTTATTTCTCTCTCTCTTTTCTTCCTTTGCCCCAAATCCTTGTCTCACATCTCATTTAGGCAATGTTGACAGTCATTTCACCTTTCCTCCCAATGCTGGGTCCAATGTCACATGCCTGCTCCTTGAGACTCGCTTTGACTATAGTGGTGAGCTTGATAAGATCTGGGACTACAGACTACTTGTCTACATAACTGACGTCAACTTGCTGTCTGGCAGGAGGAAAGCTGAGGTCCTGATTGAAACAGGGACGGTGACACTGAGTATTAGTGTCATTCCTCACCCACCACGATCGTCACCACAACCCCCAGGGTAAGGGTTTTGGGATCTGCACTCAGTTACATCCTTGTGATCAACATCAATGGAACTCTTTGGCCCAGGAGGAATGTGGGATAGACTGAAAAGAGTCGAGGTGTTAGGATGTTGCCAGAAATGGCAACCATGGCTAGATTGGAGTAGTTGCTGGGTGGTAGATAGAGATCTGGGTGAGACCTGAGACTTGTAGAACTATTAACTTTTCCTCTTCTGGCAAATAAGGGTGTGTGTTTGTGTAAGCTTGTGCTAGATCAGGCATTGGCCAGCAGTGGTGTGTGGCAGAGGAGACACTGTTCATGGGCCTGTGGCCTGTTGCTACCTTCACAACCCCTTCTCTGCTTGCTCTTAAGAGCCATTGCAAGTCTATGTCTATGAAAGCAGGTAGCTGCCAGGTGCTCTTTTCCACTTCTTTTGAAGAGTTATTAGGCACCAATCTGTACCCTTCTCCCCATCTTCACGCCATTAAAATTCACTCATTCAATCTACAAATATTGATTTAATACCTGTAATATGCCATTCATTTTGTTGAACAAGCCCAAAATGATTTCTGCTCTCATGAAACTTGTAATGTGGGTCAGTTGTTTTCAAAGTGTGGTCTGCAGACCAGCAGCATCAGCCTCATTTGGAAATTTGTTAGAAATGCATATTCTTGGGCCAATTCCAGAATATTACAGTAATACCTCACCCAACCATGATTGTCACCACAACCTCATGGAAAGGATGTTGGAACCTGGAATCCCCAACTACATCCCCAACTACATCCCCTAACTTAATAGATCAGAAGCTCTGGGGGTGGGACCCAGCAATCTGTGTTTTTAATAAGCCTTCCAGAGGTCTCTGATGTGCGCTAAAGTTTGAGAGCCACCTATTTAGAGGGGGAGACATTGAAAATGCATGCAATTTAATAAAATAACTACAGACTGTGGTAAATGGTAGGAAGAAAAATAAGCAGGTGCCAAAACAGAATCAGTGTGATGAAGGGTGGGAGAGTCTGGAGTCTCCAACAGGATTATCTTTCCCTGCTCTGTGGAAGAACTGGCTTGTATTTGTGCTGACCCTTTCCTCCTGTTCCCAGTGAAAGTTACACCCTTGGTCAGCAGTCCCATACTTGTAGTATGCCAGAGAAAAGTAATCAAAACCTTAGAAAGTTCTGTCTCTCAGAGTCTTACCAAGGGCGGGTTAATGTTCATCTCCATGTGCTTGCGTCAGTATCACTCCAGTGAACGAAGCCTAAGATAACCTGAAGGATCTTCAGTTGTGTGAGGAACCAGTAAGCTACCCTGAGTAAGGAACTGCCACATTTCTGGGGCTTACAACATGACCCAGTCGTGGCATCTCCACTCCTGAAATCTCCGTAACTTGTTTACCTGTCTCCCACTCTAAGAAGCAAATGCTGAACTTGAGGTTTCACTGTGATATCAGCCCACTCACCTGGCAGTGCAGCCTGTAGTGTGTGAACACCAACGAGCCTTTTGAGTGTTACAAGAAATACCTGTCATGGCTCATGCCTTCCAGTGAGAGGTAATGGCTGTATTAGTCCCGGGGCTATGCCATGATTTAACAGGGAAGAACGCCAATGGGATTGTTGGCTTTTATGAAGGGGAGGAAAGACAGAGGATAAAATTAAACCTAGAGTTACTCTTCAGTTGCCTACATTTTTTGGGTTTTGATCTAATGGGTATCTAGAAAGACTATAAGTAAGGTGACGGGTTGAAGCAGCAAGAACCATGATAACATAGATGTTCAATTTATAGAAGAAGAACAAAGAATAAAATAAACCCTCAACACAGGAACTGATGTCAGGAACTGCCACCTTCCATTCCCCTCCCCCTCTCTGTCATTCAAGCCCCAGATCACCTACCAGATCCTGAGGAAAAAGGTTTATTCTCCGTCAGCATGGCATGTGCCATTTGTCGTCACTTTGGGCTCCATATTGCTTCTGGTTCTCCTAGCGATTCTGATTGTCCAGTTGGCCAAAGCCATCCACAGATACTGTTCCGGCAAGATTGGGAAGCATGAGAAACCTCTGTAAGTTGCCAGTGGGCTGGGCCCTTTCCACAACTTCCTTTGGGATACTGTTTGCAGTGATGTCAGGAGAAGGAAAGATAAAGAATTAGAACTTCTTCACAGGACAGAGAGGGTGCCTGGTATGAAGGAGGACAAGGTGTTATAACTCAGTGCCATTGACCCAAACTCCCAGAGGCCTTCACAACAACCAAAGGGGTTGACAGTTTACTCATTTACTGAAGAACATTCTTCACTAACTAATCCCTAAGTAATCGCTAACCCTGGGGTAATAACTAACCCTTGAGTAATCCTGGGGTCGGCGCCAGGGATAATCTATTGAAAACATCTTGACCTTTGAGATGTCTGGGAAACTGAGTAACAGGTAATTAACTAACTGCTAAATTCCGCTTCTGTAACATGCTTGCTTACACGTAGCACCCCCCCCCCCCCTTACAAAATCGTATAAAAAGGAGCCATTTTAGCTCTCCGAGGCCGCAGTTACTCCTGTGTGGGACATACTGCAGGTGCCTGTGGACTTAGCTCAATAAACTCCTTTTGTTAAACCCCATCTCGGCGTCTGAGTTTGGTCGATCTCCTGGGTTACAACAAAGGGACATATGGGGAAAGAATCCTAGCTGCCCTTTGTCCTGGTGTAGCACCTTCATCATCTTCTGGCAGAAACTGTTCTTTTGGCTTTCCCGGGCACCCGCCCTGTCCTTGATGTGTTCTCAAAGAAACTGGGGCTTCAGCTTCTTGGTGACTTGCCCTGGTTACATGTTTCAGAAAAAAAGCCCCACTGTGAGTTGTGTTAGAATATGCTGTGGTCTTATTTGTAGAATATTTAAAGGATGGGATGGAATTAGAGGAAGCACAGAAAACTGATAAGGAAATTAAGCTTTGGCTCCAGTGATTCAATGGGACTTTTGTGTAACTAAATAATCATTGTCCTTTTGCATGTGACCCTGATCTCTCACTCTCTAGGGCTGTAAACACAGATCTGCTTCCTCTCCCGCCTATTCTTTTCCGCCCTAACACTCCTCTAACTGTGACACTCTGTGGAATCTTTTTTACTGGCTAAAGTCAGGTACTGAAATGAAGGAAAGAGATCACTCAATTGCTACAAACTTCCCCCCAGAGCCAGTTTCTTAAGCTTCAGAAGCTCCTACAATTAGAATGTGATGGTTCTGAGCCTGGGCTTTGGAGTTAGACAAGGTCTGGGTTCAAGTCTTAGCTCTATCATTTTCTAGGCATATGGCTTTGGGCAAGTGGCAGCTTCTGTGAATCTCAGTGTCCTTATTTGAAAACTAAACAATTAAATGAGCAAATGCAAATACAACACTTAGCACTGTTCCTGATATAAATGCTTAGATACACTATTTACAAAAATCTTGTATTATTTTTAATGGTTCACTGAACTCAGGAGTCTAGATTCCCAGTTTAGCTATAAGCCCCAGAATATTAAGGTGTTAGAACTTGAGTTTTGCCAGTTTCTCTGTCAAAAAGAAAGGGTGATAAGACTCATGTCCTTTTAAAGGTATTTTGAAGATTAACTAGTACTGTCAAATAATTCAAAATCTATGGATGAAAGACTCGGTATAAAACTATAAGGTATTAGCATAAAGATGTGCTTTGCATTTTGCCATTGGGGAAGTTTGTTGCTATTGGCAACCTTGACTTCAAGGTAAGAAACCCTTGAGCATCTGCTGAAATTAAAAAAGGCATTTTTTGTTTGGACTCTACTCACAAATTGATTTGAAAAAGGAGGGGAGGGGGCTCCAAAAGACTGATGCTTAAGCTTGTAAGGATGCTGGTGCTCTGTAATGGGATTTGGGCAGAAGTTCTTAAAGCAAGTCTGTTATCCAACAGATGCTGCCACTCACATGCAATTTGTGGTTAAATGTTAAATATGCACCTGAACCTGGTTGTTTTAACTTAATTTCTAAATATTAATCATTTTCAACATGGTTAACTTAAAAAAGAAAAACTAGTAATTCAGATTCAGATCTGGTCTCTCTGGAATTTAGTTGTACCACATGGCAGCCAACATTTGTCCAATAGCAAAATAGAATATAATTGGAGTCACAGTGTTATAGAATCCAAGGTTACGGAAAGGGTCTTAGAGTCCAAGTAATCTGTTTTGTTATAGAAACCAGAGTTTAGCTGCTAGCCCCTGAACCTTCCTGCTGTGAGCTGAGCCTTCTGCTCAGCTAGCTACTGGGGAGGAAAATGGGGCAGGAAGAATTGCCAGTCAGTTTGATTGGGGTTGTTCAGCCCTCACTCAGTTGTCAGAGAAGATGTATTCCCTGAAGTTCTATAAAACAATAGTTTTTGAACTTATCAAACTATCAGAACCTCCTTAGTCCCAAACCAATAACAACTGCTCTGTTTGGAGGAAGGGTGGGAGCCCAGCCTTCAATTTAGTCCCCATCCCTGTGCACTTTCAATCAACTCCTGCATCCCAGGGAACACAGTTGCCCAAAGGCTCTCATATTGTCATGAGTCTACAAGTGCAGAATGCTCTCAGGTTAATTCTTGTCCATCCCTTTTTTCCCCATAGGGTGAAGAAAGGAGGTATGTATGGTGCTTATTCTCTTTGTTTGTTGCTGTGGCTGTTATTATTATTAGTATTATCATTTTTGCTCGCTCTGCTGTATTACATGAAAGGGCTCCGACTCAGCAGAGAATCAGGATGAAATCCTGTCTTGGTGGGTTTTTAGCCACATCATCCATGGGTGGAATGAAACTGAGGTCAGGCGTAACTGGGGAAAAGGAAGGTCAGGGTGCACAGTGCCATTTGTCCACTCAAATCTCTCGCTTTGGTCCTGCCTGTTCCCTACCCAAGAGTTGCCTCTGATCAGCTCAACTTAAGCATCTAGAGGTTTGTTCCCCATTGTGTGGGACAGGAATAAAGAATTCTCTGTGGGTTAAACACAGACAGCATCTACTCTCTGTTACTCACAGAGAGGCGCTGACTCCTCCTGAGGACAGCTAATACTCTGTGTTGTCTCTTTTTATTTTCATTTTATTTTTTTGTTAATGCTCACCCAAGGGTAATTTTTCCATTGATTTTTAGAGAGAGTAGAAGGGAGGGAGGGGGGGAGGAGAGAAAAAGAGAGAGAGATTGGTTACCCCAACTAGGGCTAGGGATTGAACCTACAACCCAGGTATGTGCCCTTGACTGGGAATCAAACCCGAGACCCTTTGGCTTGCAGGCCGATGTTCTAGCCACTGAACAACACTGGCCAGGGCCAGATGCCTCTTAAAGAACAAATAATACTTTATTCTGAGATTGTAATGGATTTGATTATTTCACAAGCTATTTAGATCAGGCTAGTTAGAAAGGGGGGCTGGGTGCAGTCAGATGGGCTGGGAAAACAATGACTTCAGGGACATTGTAAATTGAGCAAGGTCCATCTGACTACCTCTAAGCCTAAGGAGATGTCACCTGGTCCCAAAGGTTGTTGCCTCAAGGAGAATCCAGGCTAGGGGAAGAGATAAGACAAAGAATTGGAAAGTGTGTTTTTATAAATGATTGTTTTAATCACTCCAATCACATGTCTGACATGCACAAGGCACATTTAAGCAGGATTAGAAATTTAATTATAATGGTTAATAATCGTATCAAATGGGATGATTTAAATAAATGAGATTTTTACAAACTGTCTCCCACCTTTGTTACTTTAAAAAAAGAGAATAGGGAATAAATAAAAAGAATCCCCATATTATGAACAAATATATCAACCCAATCTCTCTTTCTTACCTATGTAGCCATTTAAAAAATAATTTCCTAGGTCCAATAATAACAACTGGAAAAAGAGCAGAATAGTTTTTGTTTTTGTTTTTAGTTCTGTGTATTATGTGTGTGTATGTGTGTTTTTCTGAGATTGAAAGCCATCAACAAACATGTCTACAGACAGAAAATTTTTGCCGTGTCTGTCATACTGATTTCAAAGCCTGTTTAAGAGAAAATCCATTGTAAGGGTAGAATTTTAAGGTCAATTTAATGTCCAAGAACTTAACTTCTGCCTGTTTTATTCCCTGCAGAAATGAAGAATACAAAGAGAGAAGTTGTGGTGGTAAGCATGGTTGGCCATGGGGCACCTGGCTTAGGTGGTGTGTTGTGGGGGGCTCCCGTCCCCCTGCAAGGCTTGGGGTGTTTATCATTCAGGAAGATACTTGTATTTGGCCACTGGAACAGACTGCTGTGTGACGAGCTCCTGATAGAATTTGTTCCCTCCACTGAACATGTCTGCTGATATATTTGCAGAAGAACTGAATTTCATAAATATTGAATAGTGGTATTTATTATCTACACCAGCTCTCCAGGAGAGTGAGTTGGGAGAGAGGAGCTTAAAGATCAGAACTGAAGCTTTAGCCTTCAATGGGATTTATTTTCTTTGCCCTTCCACAACCTTGTGGGAAAAGTGGAAGAGAAGGAGCAGTGCTTGGGTCCGGGATTGGCTCTGCCCACTTAGCCATACGGTCTTGCAGACTCCCTCAGCCTCTTTTTTTTTTTTTTTAATGTCTTTATTAATTTTGTATCTTTTTTTTCTTTTTCTTTTCTTTTTTAGAGAGCGAGAAAGGGAGAGGAAGAGAGAGAAACATCAATTGACTGCATGCTGGAAATCAGGCCCACAACCCTGGCATGTGCCCTGATCTGGAATCAAAGTGGCAAACTTTTGCTGCACGGGGCAATGCCCAACCAACTGAGCCACACTGGCCAGGACTCCTTCAGCTTCTTTAAGCTTTAGATTCTTTATTTGTGAAGTGGGAGTGAGGACGCCTGCCTTGAGATAACAGGTGGGGAGATATTTTGAGAAATGTTGAGAGTCACACAAATGCAGTGTGATAGCTGGAGAGTTACTCCCACCGTACCTCCTTGGTTTTCTTTTACTGAGTGCAATCCACCCATGGGAAGTGATGGTACTTGAAGATTACCCACCCTCCCACCCAGACCTTCCCCTTCCCCTGATAATAAAACTGTTATGATCCCAGACTCAAGACTTTGGGGAATGAGAAGCACAACCAGGAGGACAATTCAGCACACTGGAATTTTTGCCTCAGGCTCATCAGCTAAATGTTTATATGTATTGGTTTGTATACAAACAAGAGGAAGAGATGATCTCTTGTTTACAGGTCTTATTGTCTAAGGCAAGTACCCTTCATTAAGAGACTGCCTCAGAATTATGTAATATTAAATTAATCAATTAAATAAATAAATAAATCTCCATGACCATAAAAAGTGGGGCTACTGAGCTCATCAAATGGATGAAACTCATACAGCCTCTATTTCCTTTCTCCCAAATTGGGGGGCTGTGGACAAGTGAGTAAATGATGGCTTTTGTGATACACACTGGGGGTTGAAGGGCTCAATAAGCTCCAAAGACAGTCCTCATTAACATGCTAAAGAATGGCACCACTGGAGGGTACTATGTGAGGGAACTGGGTGCTTTCATGGGGTCAGAGGTCAGGTCCTGGAGAGTGGCACAGAGAAGGGATCAGGGGAAGAAAAAGATATGGACATAGAACTTACATAAGGCAGGCCAGGCCCTGATGCCATACTGCACTGCCCTAGACAAAGGAAAACAGCCAGAGCTCAGGGTGGGAGCACATGGGTCCTCCTCTGTGCTTGCTTTGCACGTCTGCCTGATGGTGGGCTTAGGCAATGCAGATCTTACCCAGTGTTGCGTGGCATGTCTGCTCTTCCACCTCTGCAGCTTAGATATCCTTTACTCAGGAAGCTTCCCTACCCCCAAGTCTGGGTTAAATTCCCTCCTCCCGCTCCCACCTGTGCCCCCATAGCATCCTATATTCTCCCCTCATACAGCCCTTATCACTCTATATTGCAGTGCCTGTATGTCAATGGCTTCCACTTGATTGCAAGCTCTGTGGGGCAGTAACCACTTCTGCCTGTTCACTGCTGTGTCCCAAGCATCAGCACAGTGCCCATTGAGTAAATAAGTGCCAAGAAGGCCCTACGTAAGAAACTTAGGCTGTGAGGATGAGTGGCCTTGCCTGGCAGGAGGAGTGTAAGGTTGTGCTTGAAACTGTCTCTTTTCTCTCCTTAGGAAACAATCCAGATGAACACTGTCTTCGATGGTGAAGCCTTAGACCCAGGTAATTAAATAGCAGTGCCACTTATAAGAGTGCTTTGCACATTCCAGGCTGGTAGAACCTTGTCCAATGTCATGCTCTTTTACTCAGTTTCCGTCCGTTTGGTTATTTTGCCTATACTTGCTGACTTTCTAGGCTGCAGTGCAAAGTGAGCCAGCTCTGAACTGAGCTGGCTTGCAGACACACGTGGTCCTGTGTGAGGCCTCAGGAGATTTCCACCTTCAGGCTCCTACTCAAGGACCATGGCTCTGTCTAGTGTCCCTTTCTAAACTGGTGAATTCCAGAACCCACTTTTTCTTCCTGCTTATTGAGATTCAACCCCCACACTTGATCTTTTCTTATTGCTTCTAACACCATCCTATTTGGTAGTGAGAGATATGGAGAAATGGGAAGCTTGGCTTCTTTTTTTTTTTCTAGATTAGGGCCAAGAATTTCTTGGTTGGCAAGATAAACATAAGGTAAAGCTGGCCTCCAGAGTTCTCATCACCCCCATGAAATCAGCTCCAAATTTAGCTCCTTTACACACATCCTTCTACTTACAAAGGCTCAATTATAGACATGAATAAAGGGAAGGAAACCAAATTCAAGAGGCAAGTGTGTTGGCTCCCTGCCATGCTCACATGCAAACGGCTAGGTTGTCGGCTCACAAGGAGGATGGCTCCTCTCCAGGAGAGGCTGCTGCTGGAATTAAATTTCCCTCTATTATTAGGTACTTGTTACCATAATGTGCGCACATTAGCATAAGTGCTGGTGGGATTCTCAGCGGAGGAGAGGCCACTCATGCTGCATGGAAATGGTAGGAGCAGGGTCCGCCTGAAACTCTGAGGTAAAAGCTAGGAAGGACCAAGGCCATTACTCTGCATTTGTGTGTTTGAGAGAAGGAAGAAGGACGAAATGAGCCAACTGGAGTAATGTGAACAGACACATCAATTAGTGTCTGCTGGCTCTGACACAATTAAAATGGCTTCCTTGCATCATCTCAACTGGGGCCAGATTTGTGTGTCTGTGTCTACTAATCTCCGCTAACCTAACATAAATAAAAATTAAAGTCTTTTCCTCCGTGCTTGGCGAATAGCAGGGATTCAAGGGCGTTTTAAAACAAATCAGAAGAAAATGAGTAACACTGTTAGAAATTGAACCTAATTTATCCTAAGTGCCCGTGGAGTTCCAGATTTATGTGGGTTTTCAATCTTGCAATTGAGATGGCCTTGAGCTCTCCTAACCCTTTCTGTCCACGGGGGGGGGGGGGGGGGGGCATAGTTTTTGCTACCTGTGTAGTAGGAGCGCACAGCTCGTAGAAAGGGCAGGCTGGTGACGACTGTTTGCACTGTTCAGAAGTGTGCTTTCTATCTCAGTGATTCTCACCTTCTCACATGCCTCATCTGCTCCTGGAGCTGAGAATAAAGCAAGGTGGAGATGGGAAGAAGAAAATCATTTGAATTCCTTTGTTTACATTATATTTTTCCTCCCTAGTTGCTGGGGCAAAATATGTATTCAATTCAAAAACTGGAGCCAGAAAGTGGAAAGATCCCTTAAAGCAAATGTCAAAGTGGAAGGAGTCCAGCCACCAGAGATGCTCCAAGCAGAGCTGTCTCTGTGGGAGGAACTAGGCCACAAAGGAGCACCGACCAGGAAGGAGATGGGCTGAGTGACAAAGCACAGGCTGAGGATACAGCCTCAGGTTCCAGAAACCAGGATGGCAAGCCAGGTACCCCAAAGAACAGAGACCAACACCTCAAGAGCAGAATTTCCCCCAAACCACCCCCAGGAAAGTAGGCAGGGTCTGGTTGCTGGTCCCACAGAAGAGCATGGGAGAGGGACCTTGAATGTCTAAGGGATGCTACCTCACCCTAAATTCTATGAGAGCTTATGAGGTATCATGGAAGTAAAAATGTGGCCTAAAGGGACTAGGAGATCCAGGGTCCCAAATGGGATGTTTACAACAGCATAAAAGGGTTTGATTGCATAGTTGCCTTTTTCTGAGATGGCACAGGAGAAATTTGTTTTAGGACTCTGTGCTTTTGATCAGCTAGACTGTTAACTTCTGGATGCAGAATTGTGTTTCTTCTTCTCATTGACTGCTAGGAAGCTCCATTCAGTTTACCCCTAGGAAGAGCACAGAACTTCCTGACATTAATGTTGAGGACTACCTGAACATCTGATTTCATCTTATTTTCCTGCCTTCACTTTAGTATTGCCCAGAATTCTTCACTTATACAGTTCAACACCATACACCTTTGCAAGTCACCTTAAATCTTTTTTGAAAGAAGCCATGCAGTGAAAAAAATGAATGCACCCTGGCCGGTGTGGCTTAGTTGGTTAAGTGTCGACCCATGCACCAAGAGGTTGCTGGTTTGATTCCCAGTCAAGGGCACATACCCAGGTTGCAGGCTTGATCCCTACTAGGGAGTGGGCAGGAGGCAGCCGATTGATGTTTCTCTCTCCCTCTTCCTCTCCTTTCCTCTCTCTGTAAAATCAATAAAAACATACCTTAAGAAAAATGGATAAATTAATAATGAGTTATTCTTCTGGGAAGAAGAAAACAATAAACACATTCTTTTATTATTTTTATTGAGGTATAAAACTTATATTCAATGAAGTTCATAGATCTAAGGTACTCAGCTCAATAATAGACTCCTCCCAGAGGCAAGATGATCATCATAGTCTTGTTTTGCTCTTTTGAATTTCATATAAATGGAATTACACAGATGTGCTCTTTTGTGTCTGGCTTTTTCTGCTCAGCATATCATGTCTGTGAGATTCATCCATGTTGTATTCTAGATCAGCAATCCAGTTCTCTTCGCTGTGGTGGTGGCTGCTTTAAGTTTTTCACTATGATAAATTTCAGTGCTACGAACTTTTGTGTGCATGTCTTCTGGTGAGCATAAACATGTGTTCCTTTGGAGCACATTCCTAAGAGTGCATGTGCTAGAGCCATTGCTGGAATCTGCTGAGAAGTGCAAAGTTGGTGGCTCTACTCTATACTTCCACCAGCAACAGTTGAGAGTTCTGATTGCTTTCCTTCCTTGCCAACACTTGGTTTTGTCAGTCCTTCAGGTTTTAGCCATCCGTATTAACATTTTTCTTGAAATGAAGTTACTCTTTTTCTTAAAGCCAAAAGTCACGAACCTTGTAACTTCCCTACCTTGATCGTCCCCTGCCTCCTGAGATTAGAGGGAACCACAGGAGTTGAGTGGGGACACAGCAGGATGCTCTAGCTAACCCTACAACTGGGGTGAGCAGTGAACTGAAAATAAATCATACCATGATGGGATAGGAAATGGAACTTTTCAGTGTGTACCTAGTGGAGATTGAGCAGTCTGTTTTACCTCCATGCCCTGCTCCTCAGTTGCTGAAGCATTAGTTCAATACCCACAAGAAAAGATCAGGTGAGAATCTGTTAGAGCAGCGGCTCCTTCCTTCCCACAATAGCCTGTAGGGGGCATGCAAGATCCATCCTGCAAAGTCAGAACTTCAGAAGGAGAAGCTGCTAGTTTACTGTGTACCTGTGCACCAGTGTGATTTCTCAAGAACAAGAAACATTTAAAAAATGCTCTGTTCTGATTACAGCAGTCAATGATTTATTAATAAGGGTTGGTTGCCAGAGAACTCCCCTGAATAGGTTTAAATGTTGCAAAAGGAGGCAGAGCTGTTCATTTGTGGAGGTTAAAGTGGGTGAAGTGGCCGATTACCCATATAAGACTCTGAAAGTCTATGGAGCCTCAAGCAAAACGCCTTCTTCAGGAGCTCTCAGCCTCAATACAAATAAAATGAGGCTCAGAGAAGGCTGAAGGAGGACCTAATAACTGTTTATGAGCCCATTAAGGATGATTAGAAGGAGGGCAGTGAGCAGCTGTTCTTTCTTTGCTGATGACAGCGCTAGAGGGAATTGTGCTTCTCGGCCAGGAGAAGAGATTTAAGTTCAGAACAGGGAGGGACTTCCTGAAGGCTGCAGTCTGCTTGAAGAGCTCACTTCCTTCCCTGCTGATGGGCAGGAAGAGCTGCTTGTCAACCTCAAGATGTGAACCCTGAGGAACTCAAGACGTGGGGTCAGGAGTGTACCAGGAGGCTTTGGCCAAGGCAAAAGAAATTCTGTCTTTTCTTTTACACATTTGGTTTTTCTATCAGTGGAAATCAGAAGTTTGAAGTTCAGGGTTGAGACCATTGGTTTCTAACATTTACCAGGTTTGGGAAAAATAAAAGTTATCTGAATGAAATGAAGCCAGGGACCACTGCAGATCTTGTGAAAGATTTCCCTCATTTCTTTCCCAAGGCCTTAGACACAAATGAATTTATTGTAGCTAATGTTGACCTGCTTGAGTTGAGTCATTATAAAAATGAGGCAAAGACATTCAGGGATTAGACCACAGAGGGATCCTTAATTGTTGAGGGATTTAAAAGCACATGGTGAATTCTCAAGTTTGAGCTTTCTGCCCGCTCAGTAGGAGGCAGGGACCAGGGACCACCTCTCCGTCTGTGTTAAAAGCATGTGTGGCTCAGTGACAGAAACTGGGCAATGACACTTTTGCTCCTCAGAGCCCTCTTTCACCTTTCTAGTTCTATCATTTGCCTTTTTATGAAATGTGTTTTGTTATGGCTGAGACAATTAAAGCAACAAAATGAGTAAAGATAGAAAATGGTTGCTATCAAAACGATGTTTTTCATTTCAAACTTCATGTGTGTGTTTTACCTCCCATTCATGCAATAAATATTTATGGAGCATCTACTGTGTGCCAGGTATTGACTCATTAGTAAACACAGCAGCCCCAAACCCCTGCCCTCGAGGAGCTTACATTCTGTCTGCTACAGCTGAATGCATCCTGCTCATAGCCATCCCCAGAGGTTCTATTTCCAGGTCCATCCTGGCCTATTTATTTCTTGGTTCCTTGAGTAGTCTATCTTGAAAGGTAAATTAACCAAACCCTGGAATCTCCTTTCTGAAATACCAGTTAATTCAGAACCATTTAAATATATTTTTTAAACTTAATGAGGAGACCTTGTCAGAAAATAGTTGAGATGTCCAAGTAGGGGCCCCAGCCTTGGGTTATCAGACTAGCATCCTGTTTATATACCTCCAGATGGCAGCTTCGAAGCAGGTGTGACTTCTCTGTGTGGAAGATGGAAGTATCCTGAGGTCAGTGAAATGTTTGATCTGGAGCTCAGAGAAAAGGTCAAACATAGGATGAGAGAGGGTGAAGGGAGATTCAGATCACTGAGACCCTCTTATGTGTCACCTGTACTGGGGGCAAGATGTGGCTCCTGTTCTAAGGGAATAATCCAACTGAGAAGAGAACAGGCTCATTGACAAGACAACAGGCTATCACATAAGCACTTTATGAGAACTAAATGAGTTTCACAGGTAGTGAGTGCTGGAGAAAGGAGACGTGGGCCAGACCAGTCTCTGAACATATAATGGGAGACTTGGGACCTGAGAGAGGGTTCTTAAAGGTAGAGATGAGTTCAAAATTGGAGAGAAGGGAATTTTTGAGCAAAGACCAAAGAATTCAGAATTCTGGCCTTTAATCAATGTTCCAATACTTGTTCTGTGTAACCTTGAGTGAATATCTACAACCCAATACAGAGCCTCCTGGGTATGTAGCAAGTACTCAACAGACATTTGTAGAATTGAATTGAATCAAGCATGCTTGTAGTTGGTTTTCTACTCAGGTCATATAGCAGAGTCACAATTTGTCTAACCAGAGCTAGACAAACATTATGATAAGCAACAAAAGTTACTGAGTACCTACTAGTACCAGGCATGGTTCTAGGCTCTAGGGATCCAGCAGTAAATAAAACAATGTTCTTAGTGTTTACATCCTAGAGATGGATGAAACATTGAATATATAAGCAGACAATGTTCAGACCATATATAGAAATAGAACTCTGACCCACAACCTGCAGCAACCCATCCAGGAGATCAATCCCCTTTCCGGGAAGCTGAGCATCACTTCTGTAACAACCAGCCCCAAGTAGCCAAAATTTAATCGATATAATTAAGAGCTTTCATAATTTTTGTCCCTGCTTCCAATTTAGGATTGAACAGAGAAAGCTAAATATGCACCTGTAACCAACCACACAGGGTTCCCCCTTCCTACTTAGCCTACCTACAGCTTCCCTGTGCCAACAACCTCCACTTCAGGCACACCTGAAGCCTTCCCTTTTTTCCACAATAAAGCTTTTCCACTCCTCTGCCCACTTTGAGCCTTTGCTAAAATACAAGTGATGGTAGCTAACTCCCTTGCTATAGTAAGCCATGAATAAGTAGTCATTGCTTTTCCTTGTTTATTTCTACAGGGATGATAGGCAGATTTCATATATATAGAGTGTATATATTACACACACACACACACACACACACACACGTATATATAGTGAGTATGTGTGTGTGCCATCTCTCGGCCCGCCAGGATTGGTGCAATGCAATGAACTACAAGCACACACTGGTTAAAGTGAGAGGGAGCTTAGCAAGGGAGCAAATGCTCCAGATCTTTGGATGCAGTTCCATTTATTTACATATTGGTTCCCCCAGGTTACAAGTGGATTTGTGTAAATGATTTCCTTGAGATGGCATCTCTGTAAACCATACAGCCTAGCCTTGTCTCTCACTTTTTACAGTGGTAAGAGACTTTAAAGCTAAAAAATAACAAACCCAGCCATGCCTGAGCCTATGGCCCATTATCCTTGCTGAGTGGTCCTTCAATGCTTTGTCATGCAAACCTTATCTAGTCACAAATACAGTGATACCTCGGTTCTCGAACGCCTCGGTTTTCGACCAA